AAACTTTTTTAATTAATAAATTAACTTATATTAAATATAAATAAATTAATAAGGGCGGTAATGTAATTAAATAATTTTTATATTTTATTTTAATTAATTATAATTATTCTTTTTTTTTCTGCACGTTCGTTTCCACTCTATTCTCTTTGCTTGTGATAATTGTGTAACCATAACCTATCGAAATCATGATCAATCGATTGTAACCATAACCTATCAAAACTATGAGTAATCGTTGTGATAAATGTGTAATTGTCTAACCCTAACCGATCGAAACCATGATCAAATTGAGTGCGCAAGTGATGTTATAATAGTGATATCACATGATTATCATACCAAATCATTTAGTGAATTTCACCCGTAATCGTTGTGATAAATGTGTGACTGTCTAATCCTAACTTATCAAAACCATCCGAAATCGTTATGATAAACGTGTGATTGTCTAATCCTAACCGATCGAAACTATGATCAAATCGAGTGCGTTGTTATGATAGTGATATCACATGATTATCACACCCATATCACACCAAATCGTTTAGTGGATTTCGCCCGTAATCGTTGTGATAAATGTGTGATTGTCTAATCCTAACCTATCGAAACCATGAGTAATCGTTGTGATAAATGTGTGATTGTCTAATCCTAACCTATCGAAACCATCCGAAATCGTTGTGATAATCTCTAACCTAACCCATCTAAACCATGATCAAATCGAGTGATATTGATGTCACATGATTATCACATCCATATCACACAAAATCGTTTAATCGATTTCGCCAGTAATCGTTATGATAAATGTGTGATAAACTAATTATAATCAAATGAAAGCATGTTCAAATCGAGTAATTGTGAAATATACCTTTCCTGAGACTTTACGGCTTCTTTGTTCATTGAATTCTCCTTGAAATCAACTTCTTAATCGATACCTAATAAAGATAAGGATTAATCACTCTAATTTTGAGGATTATAATGTGATCGTGGTTAAGATTTTATGATATTGATTTCCATTATTACCCTTTTGAATCTCAATTTCGTTTGAATCTTTTTAAATTTCAATGTTAATTTCAATTTTTTTTTTAATTTTAATTGTTATTACAATATGAAGTTAATAAGTTGTTCTTGCGTTCTCGTAAATCACAGGAAATTATCCTAAACGTTTAATAGATAATTGAAGAACGTGACAAATGGACAAAAATATTTCTAACCGATAAGAGTTACGGTTAACAAAGTTAGGACAATAAATCCGATTCATAACAAAAATAAAACCACAAGGACCTTTTTTGTAACTTTTTAGGTTAGAGGACCCAATTTGTAATTTTCATATATAACCACATGGACGAAATATGTAATTTACTCAAAAAACTTTGATGCAAATGAAAATGTTTAAAAGTTTTGTGGCCATTTTGGGAATTTTAGAACCTCATAGAATTGGGGAAAAGGATCAGTGACAAACCCTCGCCCACAGTCCTTGAACCAAACTCCACAGTCAAGACCGTGGTCTGAGACGCACCGCTCTGGCGTCTGCTCGCCGGCGTTTCCCGCCGTTGATCCGGTGAATCAGGCCTTCTTCTCTGGCGGCTGCCAAGTAAGTTCTTTTCTCTGTTTATTTTCTTTTTGGTCATTCCAATCTCCAATTGTTCTAACCTGTTTTTGGTTACTTCCCAGTTTATGATTTGAAATTTACTGAATATTTATTGATTACTTCGATTTCATTGGGTTTGTTAATGATATCTGAAATCGGAAACTTACATTCAAAAGCAGATTAATAGATTTGAAACCCTAAACCAGTAATGTATCGTGCTTTTTGATGGTGTTTATATTAAACTGGTATTAGGAATTTTGATTATGAAGGATGTACTATTTCAATATTGATGTATGGTTTATGTAATGCATCGTGACACTACAGCTGGAACTCTCATTGTTCATGGTCGATATTGCCTGCTCAGATATGATGACATACAAGTCATTATCTTCTGCTTAATTTTGTGGAGGTGGGAATCAGTGAAAGTCCTTTACTAACATCTTTTCCATATGTTTATAGCTTAGTGGAAACCATAAAAATGAGAAGACCATCCTAGTTCATCAGGACAACCACTCTCCCAACTTTGTTCTTTCTTTCAGATCTACTGATTTGTGATTAGGAATGAAAAATACGGTTAACAGTTGATCATACTGTCAGGACCGGTAATATATAAACAACCAACCAAACTACTAGCAAGAAGATCAAAAAGAGTATCTTGGTTTGACCAAACCACAAGCACAATCTTGCCGATACAGGGATTCATCAAGGAGTAGAAGCATCCTCTACTTCCTAGATTTCAACATTCAAAATAAAGATAATTCACACAAGTTAATAATTAGGAGGGAAGGCAATTATATACACAAACCAAAATATTGATACCTTTGAGTGTGCTTGCAACTTAAAATGGGATAAACTAGTTGCTTTTTTATTTTCTTAAATGTTACAGAAATAGGAAACGTGGATACTGAACCCAGCAGAAGAGGAAAAAACAACAACAAATTGGTCGTGGAGTAGCCAAAAATGTGGAACCAAATCACCAATACATCATCTTCCGATTCATAATACAAACCAAAGTATAATTCCTGCAAGATCATAGGTATTTTCGTCATGCTATAATTAACGTTAGGATTATAAGGTTTTGGTTTGTGAAAAAGGGTGTTGCCTTGGTACTGATTCATTATTCTTATTGGAATGTTTTTGGATTAATTCTATTGTTATTGGATATTGGTCTTGCTATCTTTGTGATATGATTCTTATAGTTCTTTGTTTAGTTTTTAATAATTGTTAACTTTTTTATTCCACTGGATTGCTTTCAGGTTTTGATGGGTAAAAAAGTTAAGAAGGCAGCCCGCAATGCTCAAAAGGAGAAGCAGTCTCGAGTCTCTTCTCCCAAAACAGTTTCCCAAGAGATTGTTCCAGCCAGCGATACAGTGGTTGATGGGGTTTCAGTTACTAAGGAGACAAAATCATGTCCTCATCTGGATAAGGGCATTAATTTGGAAAAGTTTTCCTTGAAAATGGCATCGCTAGAGTCCCTTAAATGTGATGATTGTAGGGAAGGTGTGGCTGATAGAAGGACAAAAAAGGGAAAAGGCAAGAATGGAAAGAATAAAGGCAGTGGTTCAAAATCCGAGTCCTTGTCCATATGGGTGTGTTTGGAATGTGGGCATTTCTCATGTGGCGGTGTTGGGTTCCCTACAACGCCTCAGAGCCATGCAGCTCGGCATGCAAAACAGAACCGCCACCCCTTGGTTTTCCAATTTGCAAATCATAATCTTAGATGGTGTTTCCTTTGTAATACACTTATTCCGGTTCAAAGTTCAGACCAGAATGGAGAACAAAAAGATGTATTATCCGAATTTGTTAAAATATTAAAAACTCGATCATCATCAGAAACCCGTGTAGATGTGGAGGATACATGGTTTGGAAGTGGCAGTGTTATAAGTGGGATAAAATCAGTAAATACCCTTCCAAGTTGCTCAGAAACTAGAGGTGGCTATATGGTAAGGGGTTTGGTAAATTTAGGGAATACTTGTTTCTTCAATTCAGTGTTGCAAAATCTTCTGGCAATGGATAAGTTGCGGGATTACTTCTTGAGACTGGAGGGATCTGTTGGGCCTCTTACAGTGTCTTTGAAGAAGCTTTTTGTTGAAACTAGTCCATCAACAGTTGTCAGGAATGTCATCAACCCACGGTCCTTTTTTGGCTGTGTTTGTGCCAAGGCCCCCCAGTTTAGGGGATATCAGCAGCATGATAGTCATGAATTGCTTCGCTGCTTGCTCGATGGATTGTGTACTGAAGAGTCTGGTGTACGAAAACGTTCTGTAGAGGGCAACACTGCTCCAGAACATGCTCTTACTTTTGTAGATACCATCTTTGGGGGACAAATTTCTAGCACTGTTCGCTGCTTGGAATGTGGGCATGCTTCAGTTGTATATGAGCCATATTTAGATCTCTCACTACCATTACCGACCAAGAGATCTCCATCCAAAAAGGCCCCATCAGTTTCTCGATCCAAGAAACCAAAACTTCCTCCAAAGAGGCAGAGCAAGCGACTCTCCAAAACTAAAAAAGCTTCAGATGCCTCGGTAGCTCATAGTGTTTCAAATATTTCAGTCAGTGACGAATCCTCTGGACCCGTAAAGTCTACTGAAGCATGCGCTGAAACAAATGTTGCTCCCTCAGGTGATTCTACACGGCCAGAATCTGCTGTTCTTGATGGCACTGGTGATACAAATGATTCATCTCTACAGAAGCTCATAGTATTGCAAGGGAATGGAAGAAAACAGATCAAGGACAGTAGAATCAAAGAATCAGTAATTTCTTCCGACAATTTGGTTCAACCGGATTATGTTGAACAAGTCACTTTGTCAAACAATCATGAAAAGGCTACAGTGAATTCATCAAATATTTCGCCCTTGTTGGATTACAGCGAGCCAACTATGGTATCAAATGATCGTGATACAGCTGCACATCTCGGTGATGTTTCAGTCACCGAGCACACTAGCGAGAAGGAGCTGGTTCAGGACGAGTTGCTGCAAAGTACCGTGGAAGCTAATGAGCAGGTTGACTCCACTGATTCAGTGGAAACGCCACCTTTACCAGATGAACCATCATGGTTGGATTACCTTGAACCAAGTACTTCTACCGTTCATGATATGGCATCACATAATCAAGAACCATCAGTAATTCAAGATTCTGGAAACAGGAACGGTATCTCTTGGGAAGATGAGCCCCTGTTAAAAGTTCGAGAATCTGAAGTGTTGTTGCTTCCTTACAAGGAAGTTACTTCAACTAGTGGTGGCGATGAGATCACATTGTCTTCTGTCACCACTAAACAAGAATCCTCAGACTTTGATGGCTTTGGAGGTCTGTTTGATGAACCTGAGGTTGCTGCTGGGCCCACTGTGAATCCCTTGTCAAATGGAGTTGAAGGAAGTGGTTTTATGGCCACAAGTAACAGTGAATCTGATCCTGATGAGGTTGATCATACTGATTCTCCAGTTTCTGTGGAGAAATGTTTGGCTTATTTCACTTCTTCTGAGCTTCTCACCAAAACCGAACATGCCTGGCAGTGTGAGCAATGTTCAAAATCATTATTGGAGCAAAGGATGAGACTAAAGAACAAACTGCAAAAACCTGTTCCAAATGGAGGTGAAAACAAAATTTCAAGTGCTTCATCTGATTCAGGCATCGAGCACTTGCTTCCCAATGGGGTCAGGAACCTTGACAATCGAAGTACTGAAGATGCTGTCCTTGGTGAATCTGATGAAAACTCGGTGTTGCATAATGGAAAGAGTGAGAACAGTCAAGTAGCTTCCGAGCATGAAGAAGGTAAAATTGTAGTGAATTCTTCAAACGTGGAACCACCACAACATTCAGTTACAGCCTTAAGCAAAGACCATTGCTCCGATCAGGATACTGAATCTTGCAGCATCAACAAGCCCACTAATAAATGTAAGAATGAGAATGTTCAGCAAAGGGAATCCAAGCTTCTAGCAAGGCAACAGGAATTAGATAGCAGCGAGGATGAAGAGGTGGATTCTAAGGGTGTCAAGGTGGCAAGGGATGCGTCTAAGAGGATTTTGATCAGTAGGGCCCCACCAGTTTTGACTATTCATCTGAAAAGATTCTGCCAAGATGCTCGTGGCCGATTAAGTAAATTAAGTGGCCATGTCAACTTTAGAGATACAATTGATCTTAAACCCTACATGGACCTGAGGTATGCTTCTCTTTTAATTGAATTATTTCCATATGACCATCTTATACTTGGCAAACGGTTCACCAAGTCTAGTCCTTTAAACACACTGGATCTTTTATAGGCCGCAGGTTTCGTAATGTTTGACCGCTAGAACGAATGTCCATGCTTTGCATCTATGAACCTTTGCTTGTGATCCAAGAGTAGTCTCAACTCAATTTTGACTGATTTCAAGAATTATACTTTGAAAAATTATGTGCAAATGCCTACTACTCCCTTGTACCACAATAGTTGCCACAGTATTTCATTTTTTCCAGTATGTCCCAAATTAATTGCATTAACCACAAGGGTGGTTCCCGGTTGGTTTAAGCTTGGGCTCCAAAGGTCAAAAGTGCCTGGAGGTCCCAGGTTCGAATCCAAGGAGGAATAAAAAATCCCCTTGTGGCCACAGAGGTTCAAATGCGGTGATTCTGGGCTACCCGCAAAGCGGGTGGTCGCTCTGAGATTAGGCGGCTCGCATAGCAAGTTGGATATCCAAGTTAATAAAAAAAATTTAATTGCATTGTTTCCCTTTTTGCAAGTTTCAAGTTAAACTTGCCTAGTTTCCCATTGTGAATTTGTGATCACTATAACGAATAGATGATACTGATCATAATCCAAAAGATTCTTTTTATTTTGTCATTATTACTGAACTATATGTCTAGTTAAGGATTGCAACTATTTTGGGACAGTGTCACCTGGTAATGATAAGGTGATTTTGGTCATGCAGCTGCTGCAGAGATAGAGAGACATACAAATACCAATTGGTAGGAGTGGTGGAGCATTTAGGGACTATGAGGGGCGGCCACTATGTGGCTTATGTGAAAGGAGGTGCAAAGGGTGATTCGGGGGCAGAAGACAATGAGGACCACTTGTGGTACCACGCCAGTGATGCTTATGTTCGTGAGGCTTCTTTGGAGGAAGTTCTTCGTTGCGAGGCCTACATCTTGTTCTATGAAGAAATGTGAGTTGCGATTTTCATATTCATTTATTCGTTACTTTGAAACTTTCATTCCATATTTTTGGTACTTCCTTTTTCGGGAAATTAGGGGATGTTAATTGAGAGTATCCCCCAAAAAAAGAGCAAGAGAAACCTGTCTCATGAGTATACAATAGCATTTTACTTCCATTTTTGGTTTCCTTCTTTCTTCTTAAGTTATATTGAGGAATCAATGGCTTCTCCACAGCCATAATTTTGTTAGGAGTACTTGTTTGGAGCATCAGTTTGGATTGTGTTCATCATCTTGAGTGTATCATGACACATGGTCTTCCATTTAGGATATTATTTTCCCCGGGGATGGGTGCGAAAGCGATTATTACGACTTCAAGTTGCAATTATCAGTTTCTAATGTTTGTATAACATGCTTCTGCTTTTGATTATCTGAGTATTTAAAAGTCAAATAATCAATTCGATGCTAAGGGGCTGTTTGATTGGTTGCATGTGTGGATTAATCTGTTTGTATAGGGAAGTTTTTTGTTTGGGTGGGTTTTTAATAGATAGAAAGAGCGTGTTTTTTTTAAAAGAGTAAACTACAAATTTGGTCCCTGTGGTTCATTGTTTGTAACACTTTCGGTCCCTACAGTTTTGCCATTGTGGTATGAAAAAACGACCGGATTTGGTCCCAGGCTCCAAGGACCGTTAGAAGAACCTGTTAAGTCGGGTATTTTAGTCTTTTTATACCTTTGTTACAATTTTCTTCGATAAATAAACTAATATGTATTAAATCACAGGGACCAAAAATGTAACTTATTCTAATGTACCCTTCACCCACAACCTCCCTTCTCCGACGTGAGTTACCCTCTCTTCTCCGGCGCTGATCACTCCCATCTGCAAGTCGAGTGGTTAAACCTCTCAACCATGACTCTCTCTCTCTAGAACTCCCCATTCCAATGGCAGATGCTGCAAGTCCAGTGGTTAAACCTATCAACCACGACGTGGGGCTACACCTAGTTCGTGATGAAATAAACATATTTGAGCTTCCTTCTGGTCGGCAATGGCGGATGCTGCTCTCATCTTCTTCTCCGCCATTATTGCAGCTCTATCCTACACTTATATCCTCTCTTCAAACCTTCCAAAAGGCATTTCCAGACTCTTGTCCCTCCTCGCCATCTTCTAACATCCTCACCCTCCTTCGAATCAGAAACCTCGAAGACACAAAACCGTTGTAATCTTCGTTGGTGGAATTGGACCTTCGATAGGTCTGAAACAAAGATGATTCACAGTGGGGTTTGGAGGCTGGTCGTGACCCGGCCTTCACACTAAAAAGAAACCCCCTGTTTGTGGTTGCCAAGAGATGGAGAGGTGGCCGGAGGGTGGGAAATAAAGGGTTTGGTCGGAGATGGGCAGTGGCCAGAGGGTGGGAAGGAAACAGTTTGGTCGGAGGTTTTAATCCCTGCAGTTTCTATATATATATATGATTTGGCCCCTGATTTTGTTTGTTAAGGGAAAAATATGTTAAAAGTGAAAAAAGACTAAATTACCCCTGACTTAATGGATTCTTTTAACGGTCGTTAGAGGGAGGGACCAAATCCGGTCGTTTTTGCATACCACAATGGCGAAACTGTAAGTTTGAAACTGTAGGGACCGAAAGTGTTACAAACAATAACCTTAGGGACCAAATTCGTAGTTTACTCTTTTTTAAACGAAAAAATGGTTTTCAGCATAACACTTTCCCCTAGAAACTTACCCCACTTTCTACATCATTAAACCACTACAAAATAGTCATGTATAGCTGACCGGATAAGCTATGAGTCCCATTAAGCTGCTAACAAACATGTCTTAATTGCAACAAAACTGATTTGCAGAATACTTTATAGTTACACCATAAAATGCATCGTATCTCCACATTCCATATAATATATAGATGTCGATAATGTCATTATATCCTTGTTAGTATGTAGGCCTCATAGAGGTAGCACCGATGCAAACATCTCAACTTGTGGAAAATACACACATAGATGGTCGATATCGTTAAATGTGAGCCAACACGCACTAATCGGAGGTACATGCTTACATCCACCCTACGTTCTCGTGTCGCTATCGCGGTTTCTGAAATTTCCGTGTATAAAATCACTTTGTCCGTTGGAGGAGAAAGCAAGAACGGAAGAGAATTCTCATAAATCTGTATCGGAAGTGATGTTTTCCGGTGACGGAGCTAGGAAGGGACCAACAGGTTGTTCGGTCGTCTGATTTCTGTAGTTACCCCCCAACAACCATGGAGTTTTTGTGGTATAGCACTGAGTAAAACATTTGTAACATTATTATAGTTTCTTTTTGATAAATTCTATGAAGTCTAATATGTATCAAAGGCATCTTTTATTATATTTGCATCTAAATGCCCGAGTGGCAGATCCAAGATTTTTGTCGAACGGGTGCATCTTTAAATTGGGATCAAAGGCTCATAAAGTCTCTCATGTGGTTTTAGCTGAATTCCACTATTTGAGTGATTTTTTTGAGTTTCTTTTAGTTGATTCCAAAGGATTTTTAAAGTTTTTTGACTGATTTCGGAGGACTTTTTTTGGTTTTTGGTTGATTTTGAGGGACTTTTTAAGTTTTTTTGGTTGATGTTCATTGTATTTTCTAATATAGTGAAGCACTGCTTAAAGTTTAGCGGACGCATCTTATATATCTAAAAACATTTTTACGAAATTCAGTTGAACAGGTGTCCCCCCTCGGGTATGAACAGGTCGGACCATGTAATGACCAACATACAAAAATCATAATAACAACACCTTAACCGTTCTTTCTTGTTGTTGTTGCACCTTAACCGTTCTTCCTCGTTATTGTTGTGACGACTTCATGGTATCAAGTATGGATCAAGTTTTAGGGAATGAGGGGTAGTTTACCGAGAGGTCAACATTATCAGCTATCATAATGGATTGTTGGTAAACCAGTAAGAGTCTCGCTCCTTGTTGTGCCTATTTTCAGATAAGAATTCTCGGTTTTTACTGGCACCTAGATGTTAGATTATACTTCTTTAATAATATTGTAATTATGATAATTGTTTAAAGCAAAAACAATCAAGATATTATAAATGCAAAATAGACAGATTAGACAGAATATACAATTTTATAGAAAAAAGAACAGAGTTGATTAGTAAATTTATAAAAATCTAGATTACATTAAATCACAGAATAATCAAATTATAAACGAGTTAAAATATATTAGTAAAAGAATTATTAGGTAAAACAAGCTCACAACAAGATTTAAGATCTGCGATAAAAGAAGAAGACTAGCAACTTAAAGAATTAGAAAAAGAAATCCGACATTTTCCTGTTTTCTTTTAGACTTCAACATACTAGGCTTAATAGGCTTTTGAGTATCTTCAACAAATTTGATATAACGGAGAAATAATAGATATTTAAAGTAAATTATATCAGTTGTTTATATACTCTAACAACCAAAAAATTAACATCCTCATGTTGATACCATTTTCCATTATTTTATGTTGTCATATTTATTAATGGGTTAGCAATTTTGAGTACCTAAGTTTTTAGCAAATGTCGAATGTGATAAATTAATTGAAGGTTGTACTTCATGAAATACATGAAAATACATCGTTTTAAGTGATCTTATTTTTGTTTTGTTGTTCGGGATTTTGGTTTATGTACCCTGTTTTAGGGTCGAGATTAGGGAAAAACAACAAAAAGATGAAAAACTAAGGAACATCCTAGTAACTGTTCATCTGAACTGTATACACATATGCATACAAGTAACTTGTAAATACCTTGTCTCATAAAACTAAAAACAACTTCAATTACTTGTATATACATATGTATATTGTCCAGATAAATGATTACCAATGTGTTTCTTAATTTTTCATTTCTTTTGAGTTTTCTTCTAAACCTCCCTTCCCTGTTTTAAGTTTTAACTTCCCTTTTTTCTATTTAAAAAATGGGTATGCAAAATAAGCCGCTAACCTTTTACTAGTTTCCATACCCTCTTAAAAGTTTGTATGTTCTCTTTGTTTGGTGGGATTTTTTTGACTTTCCGTCCACGACATCGAAAACTATAGGATCGTCTTGTTTACTTCCCGCTTCACGATCATATATTACCCAAACAAATGTATATCAAAAGTTGGGTTTCGGTGATAAAAAAAATTATAGTGAGAAGCGTAAAAATAGATATTCATCCTTGAATCAATCCTAACTAAATGTCAACACTAATTAGGTGCACCAAGATAACACCAGATTAATTCTCTTCTAAAGCATAATTCATAAATGGATATGAGATTAAAAGTGATCAACGATTCAGATCTCTCTTCCGCTTATCACCATAACTTCCTTCTCACACGATCGTCAAATACCCAAAAACAAGTGTTAAAAGCTTAAAAAGAATCGTCATATGCATTCACTTTGGTCGACTCAATATATACAAAAACAAAAATTGTGCTGCAAATTCAACAAATTTACCAACACCCTTTTCATGCTGACCAACCCGTATGCAACAATCTGTTCTTGTGTGTAGTATATATATCCCGTACACATATACATACATATTTTATACATATAGCTGAATGGTAAAATGTTCCAGTATGCAATACTTAACAACAGAAGCAAAACTCACAGCTATGGTTTATGAGATGCTTCTAATAACCGTTGATCGCGGTTGGGGTTAAAAATGAATGCTTAAAAACATAATTGCAGGGTATGGTAGGATTCATGAAGCAGCTACAGAAACCTTGTTCAAGGCATTAGCAATCTCCTGTGCTTTTGGTGGTGTATTAACATAAGCAATCAGTGGGCTCTCTCCAGGAACAATATCGTCTTTCAAATAGCTTCCGGATGTTCTCAGCAACTCTTCGGATCCTTTTTTTACGGATCCTTTCATGATAAGTGTCTTGTGGGTGCCTGAAATAAGTTCTTCATAATCTGTATCACCGGTTTCCCCAAGGATTACGTAGATATTAGCAACGTTCAATCTCCAGCGCACGAAAAAATACCTATAAAGAACGAAGTTAAGTTCCAGTAATTTGACTAGATTTGGTTGTCTTTTTGTTGGATGGGAAGTAAAAAAGTTGAAAATTTTAATATGGTAACAAAGATTAAATTCAGGGCTGGCTCGAGGTCGTGGGGCATTTGGACACGGGATGGGATGGTTCAAAAACTTGTTGTACCACGTATGGTGCAACAAATTGGACTAGAACATGAGTAGGATAAAAATGAACTTTTTCTATACCACCAAAATAGTTGAAACAAAATTCAAAGAGATAAACAAGATTGGTAAATTATTAAACTATTCATGTCAAATTAAAACCCTAAAACCTTGTATAATTCTTTCACACGCCTACCTCAGTCCCTTCAGGTCTGGCGGTCCTGTCCGGTCTAGTCAAGTCTCTCCGCTAGGACCGGACGGGCCAGACGGGAGTGAGGTAGGCGGTGATAGATTTGTGCAAGGTCTTAGGGTTTTTACTTGACATGTGTGGCCTAGTAATTTACCAATCTTGTCTATCTCTTTGATTTTTATTCCACTTGTTTTGTTGGAAAAAAATATAAACTTTGTCTTGGCCACTCATGTCCTATCTCAATCTAAATGCTGCACCTAACATGGGATAACAAGTCTTTGTTCTGTCATGTAAGAAATGGAAGGGTAAGTGTAGGCTGTAGCAAAATCCAAGAACTTTCAAGATTGTTCGTACCTGAGAGCCTGTGATCGAGAAGCGAAAAGAGGAACTAATTGCAATCTTGTCGAGTTTCTGCAGTACATCGGATGGCACCGCAGACCACGCATTCTAAGTTTCTGTCTCAAATCATCTACTTTTTTTGCCTGAAAAGTAAAAGAAAAACGAAATTAGAGGAGTAAGGGGTTGTTCGGTTGTTTTTCATTAAACCCTGTACGGATTAAGCTATGATTCAGACCTTTTTGACGTCTTTTATCATGTATGACAGGCAGTGAGAATTGCTCGATCTTGCATCTTCTTCGATCACTTTCAACTGTTTGCCAGACGTTCCTTCTCCGCCATCCATATTCATCAACTTCCAAATGGTTTTCTTTAAACCATCTGAACCCCATCTATATTCAATATGTGCAGTATAATCAGGATCCGAAGTCAGTTTACCGCCTTCTTCATAAGTGCCCGGATAATAAACTTCACTCCCGCTGCTGCAAACCAATGCATCAAACTCATTCACCTTGATCTGCTCGTTTCTTAGGAAATCCAGCAACTCCGATAATGACATCGCTGTCGACATGGCAAAACCGGTAGTTCTTGCCATTTGTGAGTCTAGTTTAACCGCCTTGAATGTCTCTTGCAGCATTCCAATCATTCCCTTATCAGGAGCTCCATTGTTATCATAACAATCAAGTGCGATAACAATCAACTTTTGCCTCTTCCTTAACATCGGATATTTGCTAGGCCCGTTGTTACTGCTATTATCTGCCTTCTCCACGGGTTCCGGTTTCTTGATCTTGCTCATCACCCGTCTCACTTGGTCTTGAACATCGGTCCCTCCATCTAATGAGCCGTTAATTGAAGAAGATTTATCTCCATCAATAGAAAGGCGTAACGATGCATCTTGGAAATCTCTAAGTGAGTCGTTTAAAGACCCTTCGGTTGGCATTTCATCTGCATGCATGTCGGTTTTCCACATAGGATGTCTCATTCGACAAGCGACCACCCTTGTTAGATATGTGCGACAATGTTCAGGCCAAGAGAAAAGGTGTATGTTTTTCCAACCGTTTTTCTGGCACTCCGACCATAAGTTCTTCTCCGATACTAGCTTAAGCAGAGCACTAGCTATCGCTTGCTGATCATGAGGGTCTATGAGAAGCCCGTTGTTCAATGCCTGATATAATTACACATATCCGCACACTCGTTACATAAGGAGAGAAAACACTCTTTTTCCTCTCGTGCATAGAAAAATGTCAAGTTTTTTTTTTCTTTCGTAGGGTGTGTTTGGTACACAGATAGGATTTGAATGGATTGGACAGGACAGGACAGGACAGGACAAGCGAGGGTAATGTAGGCGGATGAAAGATTTATAGAAGTTTTTAGAATTTCAATTTGACATGAGTATATTAATGGGACAAAAATGCATGATTGTCCTACTCAGTCCTGTAATGTCCAAGTCTAATATTGTATCAAACGTGGGCAATAGGTTTTTGTTTTGTCATATACATTGTACCAAAGGCACAGAGAACAGGACAACAATGGTTCAATGAGAAAAGCCAACTACGATGGTCGTTTGGCAAATTTTCGCCTTTTTATGATGGCTGTAATAGTTTTCCTCCAAAAATTTCCGGGCAACTTATCATGAAGTTACAGATTACATCCCTACAAAAAAGGGTGGGGATGGGATCGAAGGGTACATCTAAGTGCAAAGGCAAAGACGTTACTCACCCTGTGAATGTCCACGGGTCCCCCGTTTTTAGTTGCTACCATAGGAAGCCCATGAGCTGCTGCCTACATCAATTTTAACACAAAGATTCAAAGTTTACAGTTCAAAGTAACAGTTACTTCCTCCATTCCAAAATAAGTTTCCACATTTCTATTTTACCTGTCCTAAAATAAGTATCAATTTTCAAAAGTAAGTGTCTATTTTACTACTCTATTCCTTAATTATGATGCGAGAAATTCTTACCCCTTATTGGTAAGAGTAATATTGTCTTCTAATTAATTAAAGAGTATAATGATTACACATTCATAAAACTGTGGATTTTCGTTACCGACAACTATTTTGGGACAGAGGGATTACTAGTAAACAGGATGGTCTATAAGAACTGACCTCTATCAATGTAAGTCCAAAAGGTTCGACCAAAGCTGGATTTATAAAAACACCCTGTTGCAACAAGTATGCAGTTACAAATCACAAACCACCGGTTAATTAACCCGGCACCTCCAGTTCATAAGACGAACAAAGAACACACCTTCGTTTTGGCTGCAAGGCGGTAGATTTCTGGTACATCATTTTGCGTATGATGTTTAGGGAATGCCACTTGCCCGTAAAGATCATATCTGTCCACCAGTTTTAGTACGGTTGTGAACACACTTGCATTCCCAGCAGACATCTCATCTATATCATCTCTATTGCCCATTATAAGTGTCTGCATTCAAGCAAGTTATTTCAGTCTACCAAAGGGTCATTGGACCAGAGGTACCCGTGTTACTGGTTGAGCCCAGCCTCAGAAAAGGGTAAGGGTTCAAACCTCACTAAAGGTGAAGAGTTTGAGTGAGTATTAGCCGTATATAAGTATCATATACTTAAAGAAAAAGTTATTTCAGTCTACAAAAATACAGATGCATAAACCTTAGCCAGTTGTCTTACAAGATTAGCAAGCTCTCGTAAAGGGTGACATTCACCGAAAGCTTTTAAGAGCGTAGTAATGTTTTTCTTCGGATCTGGTCTCGACAAGGCCAAAATCATTGGCTTGTGTGGATTTGTCAAAAAACGCATCACCTGCAGAAGCGATTTTATTGAGAACCAAATCCAACAAAGCTATCTGAAGAAAACAAATTACATGTAATAACGAAATATACTCACTTCCGACCATATTGCTGGCATAGCCTTTGGAGAAGCCCCGTCTGAATTAGTTAGTGATGACAGATCCCCATCGGCCTCATCAGCTTCTTTGATGACATGGCTGAAGTCCATGCCAGGAGGAATAACCTTGAAAGTTGATGATTTCAATTTTCAGGTACTAAGGATGCGTTTGGTATACGGGACGGGACAGAAAGACAGGTCAGACTAAAAACTTGTTGTTACCACTGGACATGACAGGATTTGGGGTTTTTTTGTCCAGCCAAAATAGGTAGAACAAAAATTAGGGAGATGGACAAGATTGGTAAATACACATGTCAAATTGAAACTCTAAACCTTGCACAACTCTTTCATTTGCCCGCCCAGACCTATCGTGTCCCATTTGCGTACCAAACGCACCTTAATGATTTACTTCAATGCAAAAGAATGGTCTGCGGATCGGATTCATCTTAGTTCAGAAGAAGATCTTACCGCCATCCTTGGCATAAAGCGGCCATGACAATCAACACCCTGTCTAGCACGAGCCCGTAAAACTTTCTCAAGTTTGACATCGAACCCATCATATAATCCCCACTGTTCATCAATTTCTTGTTTAGTGCTAGTAATGACAAGTTCAGCTGCATCTAATGAAAGTTCTTCGGCTTCTATCCTCCTCATAATCTTGTAAGTCGAATTAATATCTTCTTTTGACTGCCTACCTTGCTTAAGAAGCTGTTCTAGCTTGTTTCTACCAAGGGAGTGGCCCGTTAAAACCATGGGAACGTTAAGAGCACCCGAAAGGAGAGCTGCACTATCCCCAGCATCGGCATAATGGCCATGAATCACGAACGGCCAAATTGGCTGCCCTCCACCGATTTGCTCACCCAAAACTTTGGACATGTTAAGAACATGCACTAGAGCTCCATCTACAAATTCTTGGATATGAGGCCAAAGTAACTCCTTCCGAAGGTATTTGTCACGAGGGCCAAATGGTATCCGTATAATATAAGCGCCACTGCTCTCTCCTACATCAGCAGCGTCAGGGTCGTCGGAACCAGCGGTGAGCATCTCGGTGGGCTCTCCGTAGCTCCAATCTACTTCAGGGGAAGATACTTGACGTGTAAAAAGATCCACTCGATACACTCCTGGCATCTTAGCAAGTGCTGCAGCAAGCTCTACAACATACTTGATCTGAAAATTATGTACAAAGGAGAGGACGCCATTAGGAAATTGACCAACAAATGCACTGTCATATTAACAACACCGGTGTCAACTTGTCATATCTGTGAGAATAAGTGTTACCCCGTTAGATTATTCTCTAAAAGACTATTCTCCAAAAGAGTTTTTGAAGAGAGAAGGGAGGTTCCAACGTATATATTGAGCGGAAAGAGTCTAAGTCTAGCGGATGTGAGACTCAAACAATATCTACCTGACCACCTGTATCAGAATCACGACCAAGCTCCATGTTATCTCCACGAACCAAACCGTGCAAACTGTTCAAGAATACAAGTTATATTCTGTCTACAAATTCGAATCTAATATGCCTTTTGAGTGAAGAGAATTCATGCCTGATAAGGATAATGTAAAGCTTCTTCTCCTTCTTATCATCCGACCAAATTTCGAAGTTGGAGACATTTTGTTGGGGAGTTTTCCTCGGGCTTTCTGGTGCTAGGGAATCGCCAAGGATATCTCCTTTCTCTTCTTCGGACAAGTCTTCGGATATGTCTTCTCCCACATCCCTGCGTCCTTGTTCTCGCTCCAACCTCCTCTTTGTCATCCGTTGGATATCTTCCCAGTCCAACTACGACAAGCACATAAATCAGTAACCATTCACACGTGCTACTTAACTCATTCTTCAACAGCGAACGGTTTAATCGTAAGCATTTTAAAAGCATAATGAAGAATGATGCATAATCTTTCCTAAAAGCACATCAAATGTAAGACATTGAGATAGAAAATAGCTCCAAAGTTTAATAAACATCTTAATTAAAGTCTTATAGGAATGTGATTCCAACGTGTAGACAAGATTATAAGCAACAATCAGCTCATCTAGTGACAGCGAACAATAGAAAGCTTGAAAGTTGAACATATGACTTGGTTTGTGTATAAATAAAACTAAATCAAGCTAAACACAACCATCCTAGTTCTCATTGTGTTAATCTGTAAAACGTAGGGAACTTGGTGATGATTTCATCTTGTATGAGTTGTTAATAAACAAAAACTCATGGTTAGCATTAAGAATCTTAAACGCCAACATGATATTTGAATAATTTGCTATGAAACACCTAAAGATTCTTAGAGTAACTAGAAGACTAGAGCTTCTAACATCTAAAGGTGCAACCTTCACTAAAGTTCAAGTATCTAACCTAAAAATTGCAAAATCTAATGTACCGAGCATTTAGAAACGCCTGAATGTTCTTAGGGGTACTTGGTTGGGGTTAATAAGGGGTGGGGAATAGAAAAGGAAATTATTAATGCTGATTGGTTTGATGCAATGAAACGCGTATCTGGTAATGAATCATTTCTCTAAAAAATTGGGTAATGCAACTCATTACCATTTCCATCCCTGAAATGAACCAAGTGCCTCCTAAGAGTAACTCGAAGACTAGAGTGTCTATCATCTAAAAGTACAACCGTCTTCACTAAAGTTCAAGTTCTAACCGTGACATGAACTAAAGTCTGCAAAATCTAATGTACTGAGCATTGTTCAAGAAAAAGATCAATCGAACTGATAACAATTGCTTATATTGCCCTGTGAACTCCAATCAAATGCACTCCATGGCTAATTGACTAATTCTACCCAGAATAGATCGATCGTAGTTCAAGTTATGCGTGGTGGGTTGTTTGGTCTGGTTTACTTGTAGCTCTAGTTATCTTGCTTAGCTTTCATTACAAACTAACCACAGTTCTCGAAGAAAAAAATTCAAAAACAAACACTGTGGTTTGCAAGAACTCCCAATTCTGGACAAATTGAGAATGTGCAAATGCATAATAACGTTCATACTTGGCAATTTTTGTCCAAAATCTATAACTCTTCGTGAATAATTCTTAATGTTTGCATTTAAGCAAGAACAAGTGTTTGCTTATATCAAGAAACCAAATGCCAACAAAAGTTATTCAACTAAAAATTTCCATTAAATCACAAAGTAAATTCATTTTCAACTGACCAATTCGGACAAACACAAGGAAACAAATCAATTTTCGGGAAGTATAATAATCCTTTGAATTTAACTTAATTTAGTCATAGACAACATTTCCGGATCTGCGCTCTTAAATCTCAATCTACTCACAGAAACAGAGCACCTTGTTTTTGCATATTTTTGATGGATGCATACACAAAAATGTACATGTATATACAAGTACGAACATCTACCTGCTTCTTCTTGCGAGTCAGATGCCAAATTCTCCAGCACATATTCTCGAGTCTCGAGGTTCGTTCTCTGGTGTTTCGAGTAGCCACCACTTTGATCCATGTCCGGTGCAAATCAGTCTCGTCGACTCCCGTCACAACTTCTTCAACAAAATACTTTGTCGGATTAAAATGGTCTCCTTCTCGCAAATTCACATGATGATCATCTATATTCGAAGCTTTACTATCCAAAATGGCCTCCAAATAACCATTGATCCACTCATTTCCGGCCATTTTTTGATGAAAAACGAAAAACTAACAAACTCGCTTACTACGAATTCGTCAGTTATCGATTCAGGAGTTGAATTTCGATCGATTTTATCCTGAAAATTAAGAAGAAAAATCGGGAGTTCGAGGGAGTTGAGGAATTTTGTTAGGGGAGAGAGTCTGGGGAAGTTAGAGCATGGGATGTAATCGTAATTGTGATTGTATGAGGAAGAGGAGGCTGAAGCGCGTGGCAGTTACATGTGGGACCCACCAGTGACACGTATCATGCGGATCTGGAAGGGTTTATGGGTCTTGAAACGGATTTTAGTATGCCTTTCCCAACGTTGTTTGGATCCCCAAAATGTTAACGGCGATGGGACGTTAACTAACGTCCCTTTTCTTTTCCCCAATAACATACGTTCTACGTTACGTAGAATTTGATGATAAAAAAAATAACAATAAATTGTATGAAAAAAGTAACGTATTTTAATTTGGTTTTTATTTTAGGTAACGTATCTTTAAAACTTTTATTTTCGTATCTAAGATGTAAAGTTTTAAACATATAAGTATCCGGTTGAAAATTAATTTTAGACTAAAAAAAAAGACTAATTTTAGGTTTAAAAATGCATGTCACTAACCACGTCAGCAAATAATCCTGAGTTGGATATCACATCAACATGATAACCAGTTAGAGGCTCTTACCCGATTAGTAGTAGAGACAGAGTTTGAGGCATAGCTATCTAGGGATGAACATGGTACAGTATCGTGTTTCTTTTTCATATGTCGTGTATCAACTAGTTATAATTGGTATGCAAAATTTTGTACCATGTACAAACCAACTATATTTGGTACCAACTTTTTTCAGTTGGTACGGTATTTATACCAACATCGAAAAAGTTGAAGTTAGAAATTTATTTAAAGTGAAGTCTTTGATTGCCAACTAAATCTAGATGCAATAAAACTATCGAGCATTCATATAACATGTTGATATGTGTTGTACCACTTATTCCTACCTATATAAGCGTTCATATAATTTTCATATAATACAAGCATTCACTAATAGCCTACTACAAACAGTAATTGATGAGTGTTGATGGACCGTGGAGGTGTGGACGAGTTATTAAAGTTGTTAGGGTTAAGTGAATGAATTTAATCAAATTCTATGGGTCTGTTTGTTTTTTCAAAATTACCTCTTAATATCTCTGAAGTCTGATTCGTTCAGAAGTTTGAGTATTAAGAATGTTTTTTTAATAAGAGTTTAAAAACTCTAAATGTCCTCTGAAATTTTAAGTGGTAAACGAATCTCTTAATATCTCTTAATTTAATCCGCCATCTATCAAATGGTTTATATTTTGGGAGCTTGAAGAGATTTGTTAATAGAAACTATTTATTCTTTATACTTTTGTAAAAAGAAAACTATTTATCTTTTATATTTTTACACTAATTTGACCGATTTCAGATTTCAAACATAAAAACAAATAATCTTTACTAATCCAGATTTCAAACTTTAGCACCACCTCTTATAAATCAGAAGTGAAATTAGACTTCAGCACATCTTAAAAAAAATGTCACCTATATATCCATTTGTTTTATTTAGCAAAATTTAAAATTTATAACCAGATGTATTAATAATTAAACTTTAATTAATAAACAAATAAATAAGGGGCTGTTTGGCAGTTGCTGAATGATTTGGTGCAGAATGATTAAGTGATCAGAATGATTAAGAGACTCTCATAATATAGTTCAAAATGAAATATAATTGTTTGGTAATTGTTTACAATGAAATTAGGGCGCTGAATGATTAAGGGGGGCCTAATATACAAAATCATTCAGAGGGTTTTGGAACCATTAAGAAACAGACTCTTTTTTTGCCAAACAAGATTCACCTCTTAACAATTCAGAATATGCCTCTTAATGGAACTATTAAGAGGTAAACAAACAACCCCTTATAAATCAGTATGGTACGGTATTACCGTGGTACACAACTTGTAATACCACGTACCAACCAAGTTTAGATAGTTTGTACGGTACTGCCAACCAATTATATTAATACCAACTAAATTAGTACGGTTGGTACGAGGATATGGTTGATTTGTCATGGTACAAAATTGACACCCCTATATCTGTCCAAAGACAGAGGTGAACTTTCTCTCATTTACCCCTTATAATTTACCAAATAAACACTCTGATCCATTTTGGAAAAAATTGGGAAGAACAGGAAAAATCGTAACTCTCTCTGATATTCTACCTCGATCATACGCCTCATCTTCTCTGTTCTCCTGAAAACCACCTGCGTATTTTGGGTTTAGGTTCCTCTCAAGTCTCGCTGTCGATGACGCCAAATAAATCTTCCTTCAACACTTCAGAATCAAGCGAACAACTCAGATATTTCAAGGAGATACTAGAAAGGTTTTTAGATAGGGGTTTTCTACAGTTGAGGGATTTCAAAGAGGATGTTTCCCGAAAGGTCTAAGAGCGAGTAAAGTTTAGGGTCGAGACTTAAAGGTGACAATTTGATGGGTGAAATTTGTTGGCACGCGTTGTTCTTGATTAAACGAAATATGATTTTAAATGGTTAAGATCGTTATTTGTTTTAATTATCTTTAACTATAAAGGTATTCGTGCAATGCAGTGAGATATATCTCGATTTTAATGTTCTATTTTATTCATTTTTTCTGTCGATATAATACGTTTTTACGTGGTTTTAGAAAACGATAATATTTTTATTTTTGAACAAAATATGAATTTGAAAAAGAAAATGTATCAGTATTAGTATTAAATTAACTATTTAAAAGTTATTGTTTTCTGTGTAATTTCTTTAATTCAATTTTTTATTATAATAACAAAGTAATTTATTTTTGTCTAATAATATAATTTTTATAAGGATGATAACTAAGTATTCTATTAAAACTCAATGATTATTCTAATTATATTTTAACTTTTTATATTTAAAATGAGATGTTTATCCTGTATTTGATTATGTTTATCTGCAGTTAGTCACACGAATTCAAAGATAAAGCTTTAATAAGTTGTACTTACGCAAAATTTACTTGTAATATTGAATTCTAAGTAATAAGCATCAATAAACAGTATTTCATACATAAAAATTGTTTTTAGCAGTTTTTGTCAAATGCTTTATAATATAGTATATATATTAACAAAATTCAATTGATCTATTTAAATAGTAATTTTTTTAAAATATATATACATAATTTGATGAAAATAATTTTTTCGTCCATACATGATAAAATTAGATGATAAACAACAATTTCCTTATTCTACACATTAGGATATAATGGTCATTTTGGAAGTAAACACTAGAAAAAAGAACATTTTAGTAAACAACAATTATAGTCAACATTTATCTCAGTCAGACCTCTTATTTTATGGGGTGTTTGGGATTGCTTATTTGAAACAACTCATGTTTTTTTATAAAAGCATTTATCACTTATTATAAGTCAGAAGGGTTTAACTTATTTAAAAACTCCTTATTACCAGTAGGGCTGTAAACAAACCGAACGTTCAGCGAACAGTTCGTGAACCGTTCGGCGGGAAGTTCGTTTATGTTCGTTTATTTAATTAATGAACGAACATGAACAAATTTTTTTGTTCGTTTAGTTAAACGAACGAACATGAACAAGAGTCTCGTTCGTTCATTTATGTTCGTGAACGTTCGTTCATTTACCGTTCGTTTACGTTCGTTCATTTATGTTCGTGAACGTTCGTTCATTTACCGTTCGTTTATATTCGTTCGTTTATGTTCGTTTATATATTAAATTTAATATATTTACTTTGAATTCAAATAATATTTATTTATGTTCGTTTAACCCGTTCGTTTATGTTCGTTTAGCTCGTTCGTTTATGTTCGTTCGTTTACGTTCGTTTAGCATGTTAACGAACGAACATAAACGAACACGAACACACCTGATTTCTAAACGAACGAACACAGATATTTTCATTCGTTTACCGTTCGTGTTCGTTCGTTTGTTCGGTTAAGTTAAACGAACGAACATGAACAAGCCTTCGTTCGTGTTCGTTCGGTTCATTTACAGCCCTAATTACCAGTTTGGCACCGGTATAAGTTGTTTATCCAAACACTCAAAAATGCTTATTATCGGTACCATATCGGAATAAGTTAATAGTTGTTTTTATAAGCAATCCCAAACACCCGCTTAATCAGAACTCTTATTTCAATCACCAGTTACCCATAAGTTCTAATAAACAGCCCATGATTGATCTAGTAGAGCTTTATCGATTTGGTTTTCAGCTAACATACAAATGTAATGAGTTGGATTTGAGTTTCAAAAAGTTCTAACTCATGTTTTTGAGCCATGTATATGTGTAAATATGTATGCGTCTATGACCAAATTTTGATGTATATTTATTCAACATAATTCTGATAGATTTTTAAAGTTATTCAAACTACTGTTATCGAGCAAAGTTATGATTAATACGTTTGAGTTATTCAACCTTTCAGTTTGTGTTCGAGCTTGGCACCTTATATGAAGATCCTAGATTATTAATGCACATCATACGCTATTAATACTGAGTCGAGCTTTAGCTCATCTCGAATTGTTCTTGCAACCCTAAGCCCTGTGCAATTTGGTAAGTGATAAAATCAATTATTTTTTGAGTAATCGTAGTTCATAATATCTGATATTTTTTGATTAACCTGGATATCCAACCTGCTATGCGAGCCGACTAATCACAGGACGACTACCTGCTTTGCAGATAACCCGGAGTCACCGCATTTGAACCTCCATGGCCACAAGAGGATTTTTATTCCTCCTTGGATTTGAACATGGGACCTCCGGTACTTTTAACCTCCTGATATTTTTTGCATACTAATTGATACATGCAAAGTGCATTTTTCTATATAAATAATACGAACCTTTAAACTTCTTAACCAAGATATATAATTAGGGGCGAACATGTCCTTAAGGGTTTGGTTGCCTATAAAACCACTCTGGAGCCGGCTGTAACTTTTGTATTCCTTAAATATGTAATCATAAGCATTTTTGCGTGAAATCATAAACCTTTTCAAGGGTTTATATGAAAATTTATAAAATAAAAAAGTCCAAAAATTATCAATGTCAGGAATGGACCGAGGGTTTTCTTCGGTGGAATGTGTGACTATTTCGTTTCTCCGTCGTAGTGTAAAAAATTATAAGGTCATGAAAAGTATCACCGTCTCAATTTGTTGTATGCCACCAAATATTTTTGAAACTACAATGAGAACACAAGTTTCCCTTGGTAGAGTTGGTTTGTAAGGATGTTCTTCTATTCTATATCCGAATTCGAATCATGTTAGTGTCATTTTCTTAATTTTTAACTTTTAATTTCATTTATTATGTTTCTGATTTTTTTTTGTCATAAAAGACTTGAACACAAGACCACACACATGAAAAACAATAAACAAACCAACAGAGTAATGATGATTTTGTTAAAAAAAATTATAGTAAAATGATGTCATCGTTTGAAAATTTTCTGAGTCATCCCTTGTCATTGTTATGGTATTTAGGGGTCGTTTACCAAACACTTAGCCGGTAAACGCTTAGCGGTAAAATTTAACACCATTTACTTATCAGGTAAGATTTTAGTCCACCAAAACAGCATCGCCTTCACTTACCGGGTAAGAGTCATTGCTCTCACTTACCGGGTAAGACTTTTGGTCTTTGTCTCCCTCTGACCAGTAAGATTCTTGATTTTTAACATATTCATCCGGTAAGGTAATATGACTTGGTAAGCACTTACCCGGATAAACATTTGATAAACGGCCCCTTATTTTTAAATAATTTATCAATCCGCCTGCGTATATGATTCTTAAAAAGTTGTTGCGAAGAAGCAATGGAAATGGTTGCTGAAGTACATTCACGGGGATCTTCAAATGCTTCAACTACCATGGACCCGTGATTCTTCTTTCATTTACCAAAACATTTGATTTTGATTTTAATTTTAAGAGTAAACTACAAATTTGGTCCCTGTGGCTTGTCGTAAATAACACTTTTCATCCCTGTAATTTTAAAATTACCCGATGACCATCATAATTTGTAAAAATGTATGGATTTAGTCTCTCCCTCTAACAATCGTTAAAAAATTCCATCAAATGAGGAACATGTTTGTAATTTGATCAATCTTTTTTTTTGGTCTTTTACCGAATCAAAATCAATTTTATGATTTTGATCATTGTGGTTTTTGATCGAGTAAAAGATAAAAAAAATCGATAAAAGAACAAAAATGCTCTTTTTAATGGCCGGTAGAGAGAGAGAGGGGACAAATCCAGACATTTTTGCAAACCATGATGACAATCTTGTAATTTTCAAACTGAAGGGACAAAAAGTGTTATTTCTGACAAACTGCAGGGACGAAAAGTATTATTTCTGACAAAATGCAGGGACGAAAAGTGTTATTTCTGACAAACTGCAGGGACCACATTTGTAGTTTACTCTATATTGTTCGGAAATGGGAATCGAAGCAGTTCGTACAACTTGTATAAACAATCACAAAACGATAACGAGCTTTCAAAGGTTGCAAAGTTATAGTGAGCGTGTAAAATAATGTTAGATAGAATTATTAACCATTTACCAAAGGCTTACTCGTTAAGTATTTACTGGCAAGAGACAACCACCCTAACATCTCTTATCGGGTAACGTTATCGGCCATCAAAATGAGTTGTTGGTAAATGTCTTTTACCCGGAAAGTTTTCTCCCTTACTTACCGGGTAAGATTCTCAGTTCTTGTCATGCTTTTTACTGGATAAGATTCAAGGTCCTTGTCATCCTCATCTCAACGGTAAGTGACACCCAGGTAAGCACCCGGTAAGCGCTTGGTAAACTGCCCTTTAGACTAAATTAGATTGATGATATATTGATCATGAAATTGATAATAAGATCGAAATTGAATCTAAAAAAATATCCATCGGTAAGGTTATGGATTTCGACACGATTAGCATGTTCAGAACTTCAGATCTAAGAAACTTAAAGATAGAACCATGACGTCACAAGTTCAAGTTTCTTCGTAGAAACTTATAATCCGTGTTCTGATTACGTACGAGTTACAAGTATATCTATTAATGGAGTCGGGATTCACTCCTCTTTATCCTGTCCAGTCTTTATCTCGTCCCATATACCAAACCACGGTCTAAGAATGTTTTTTTACACGAACGGGACTAGACGGGCAAAGTGAAGTAGGCAGGTGAAAGAACCATGAAAGGCTTTAAGACTTTAATTCGACATGGTTGTTTAGTAATTCACCAATCTTTTTTCTCTCTCTCCCGGATTTTTGTTTCACCTATTTTGGTGGGATATAGAAAAACCATCTTCGTCCCACTCTCATATCCTACCCTACCACAGTCTGACATCGCACCAAACATGAGACAACAAATTGTTGTACTGTCATCAGTTATGTCATGTCCTGTTCTAATCCACATACCAAACGCCCACTTAAAGGACCTGCACACCCAAACCAAAGGCCAAGGCCCGTGTAGGACACGTCTCTTTGGCGTCCATCTATACCTACCATAAACAGCAAAATGAAAACTGGAAATATATTGTGATCAACTTGTGGTTTCAAGTCGGTGGGCGTAAGCTGGCCCGAATAACCACAGTAACCCAAAAAAAAATACAACGTCCATAAGGTTCGATGTAAAAAAATCACCCTATTTCGTTTCTGTCTGAAGAGTCTGGTTTTGATATTAAACCTAGTAACAGGTAGGTCTTTTTATCTTTCCAAAATATCTCTATTCTAGCACTCTTTTATATAGCAGCTAGTAAACATAGTTATTCTTTCTACAGAAAATAAATAACTTTCATGAATTTCGAAGCTAAAAAGTAACTCATCTGAGATTCAGAAGTCGATTGTCGACTCTTGTTTGGGAGTATAATCGCTTCTAAGCACCACTGCTGTTTGTAACACCTGCACGAACTCTCAACATTTCCGTCCGCTTACTTCTCTCCATAACGTCTACTAGCCAGTTCACAGTTTCCTTTAATCCGGTCCTGCAATCACAATCCAAATATCTAATACAGTTATGCTAATTTCACAAATGGGCAAAATACATCCAAATATAACAAAGTTTGGTTTACTACCTGTTTGGTCTAAGAAATAGTTTTTTTTTTTTCTCAATCGATGTAACAAAATTTCCTGTTTTATACTCATTTTCTCCGGGAACCTGTTGATCTTGTAACATTTGATGACGTAGATACACATTTACAAAAGGTTTTAAGAAAAGGTTACGGTGAAGTGGATGATAAACTTGACATCCACGTCATCAAATGTTACAAAGGTCAGCAAGTTATAGTCAAAATGAGTAAAAAAAAGGAAATTTTGAAACTTCATTGTGTTAATTGAAAAAAAAAATTGTTATACTAAATAAGAACCAAGGCAATTTCCGTTTCATTTCGATGCATTTTTCCCTTTAAGAAATTCCACATATGGCAGTAAAAAGAAAATGTATTGCCATTATATCTACAAGCTACCGCACTGTTGACTTACCCATCATACCCTGAAACACCTTCAAACGTGTAAACTCGTTCGTCTAATTTTTTGAGGTCCAAATATCGAGCAAGTTCTTCTGTTGATACAGCATCAGCAAGATCCTGCACATCCATAACTCATGAGAAAATTAAAATAGAAGAGCAGGCATTTACTACCACATCAACAAGACGATAATGATTTTTATAGCTCCAAAAAACGAGAGTGAACCTCAATTTTAATTTACGATTTTACAGTAAGCCAGATCTTAAAATAACTTAATTGCCACAAAATGACAGAGAAAGGAGAAAACTAAACTGAAATAGTACACGATGGTGTCCACTCTGGGTGCGTTTGCTAGCGCACAGGACTGAACTGGAAGGGCAAGAGTGTGGCAGGTGGGTTAACGAAATGTGAAAGGTTTTAGAGTTTTAATTTGACACGGGTAGTTTAGTAATTTACCAAACTTGTTCCACCTATTGTGGTGGGACAGAAAAAATGCATTTTTGTCCACTTGGTCCGGTCCGGTCCAGTCCCAGTCTAATTGTCGTATCAAACATGGGACAAGAAGTTTTTGTTTTGTCGTGTCCTATATTCTCCCGCGTACCAGACCACCCTTTGAGAAATCGCATCACTTGTGATCAATTTTTTTACCTCAAAGAGATAGAATCCTCTCATACAATATTAGTAAAAAGAACATTAAAAGTCTTACTTAAAAATCAACATCTCTCTTAGAAGTTTCGAAAATAAGAACAAAAAAAAAGTAAAGGTAAACGGGGGTGGGGGAGGAAGATTACCTGCTTATTGGCTAGTATTATAAGAGGGGCGCCTTGCAGATCCTCATGCCTAAGCACCTTTTCTGACAGGCAACAAGTTTGAAGGTAGAGGCAGCATGTGTTAAATATTTTCTGGTCATCATAATTTACCACAAAAGGTCAACAGCTATAGAAGAGAAGATTAGTTACCGAGGGCAGATTTGGAATCTTCAAAACGTGACGGAGAAGAAGAATCAACTACAAAAATAACAGCATGTGCCTCTTCATAATATTTCTCCCAAATTGAGCGAAGACCAGCCTGACAGTATAAAGCGTAGGCATCATTCATCAATGAGAACATAAATTTCATGGGAAGAAAAAATGCTACAGACTAGGTATCTTGCATCATATATCTGTGTGCCCCACAGTCATGTACTTGTTACTAAGGTCTGAAAAGTCATCAGCATTAACGCGATTTCTCAAATTGAACGTTTTATGTAAAGGAAGCCTATGAACTATTGTCAAAGCTGCGCCTATGAGTACAGGAAGCAGTTGAAAATAAGCATGTACTTGTTTCCAAGGGCCAAAGCCTCTCATGTGTTTTTGTAGTTTCTCAAGTTGAACATTTGAATAAAAGAAGCTTATGAAACTATTGTCACAGCTGAGCCAGATAGTATGGGTTGCAGTTGAAAGTAAGACAAAAAAGACACTTGGAAGACATGATGATCTCCTATTATAGCAGTTAACCGGGTATCAAACCCTGGCACTTGGATAGATGTTAATATGTAAAATAAATAATTTGAGTTTTATCAAGTGATACCAGGCGAATGACATTTCAACAGTACGGGGTCCAGGAAGTCTAGTGTGGTTGTAATGTTACATGATAAAAAGTGGGGTACTCTGTGCTTGATATTATGATGCAACTATGCAAGGTAAGAAAAGCTAGAAACATGTTGAAGGTAGAAGATAATAAGCACCTACTTATACAGTCCATTATCAGTAAGAATCCATTCTAAATACCTGACCTCCGAGGTCCCAAAACACAAGTTTTGTATTCGAAGTTTCTATACGACCAATATTGAGTCCAACAGTAGGAACAATTCTGTCAGGGGGTAGGCCTTCTAAGCTTGAATATTGTGCCTTCAATTTCTCCAATAAGGTCTACACATAAAGTTAAGAGACATAATTAGCATGCTTCAAGGTGATGTAAAAATGAAAACAGATTTATCCTCAGAGATGATAGAGAAGGCATTAAGGCAGCACACCTTACACTGATGTCAGGGCTAAAGAAGTACCGCTCATGTATAAATAGGGATGCCAATTTTATTTTTAAAGATACCTTTCTAAAAAGTATGCATATATGTATACACGAAGTGAGAAAAAGAAACATACACAGCAATTCCTTTTAATATTTATTTATATGCATTATCAGTACATGAGCAAAGCATACTCAACACATTAACGGATGCCGTTGAAGGTTTATTTCAAGAAGCCCCCTCCTAGTGTACATTTATGTCCCTCTACGGCTCTCTTCACATCAACTAGAAGATGTAAGAAAGTTGTGCATCTGCTGCGGTCCCACTCCATAGAGGAGTTAACTGAACAGAGATCACATAGATGGATAAACAAGCTGCTTTCTTATTTGTAATCAATATCTCAGATTAACATTGTTACTGCAGACTGGTGGGAATTGAGGAGCTAACTGAATAGAAATTGTGTATAAAGAATTGCTTCATTATTGGAAATCAATATTCAAGGTTAACATTATTACTGCAGGCTAGTGGGAATCAACAAATATGGATTTGTATCGGAAGTAACAAGCAAAGCTGAAACTTAGCTAGAGAATCAACAAATATGGATTTGAATTGAAAGTAACAAGCAGAGCTGAAACTTAACTAGAGAATCAACAAGAAAATAGATAAAGAATAGTGAAAACATTACTGTTTTTCCAGCCTTGTCGATTCCAAGAATTAGTATATGAAACTCTGTCTTACTGACCAGATATTTCCAAAGTCCATAAAACAGCGAAAACATCTCTGTTTTTCGTGCTTATCTGTTCTCCACCTTATTTAAGGAGAAAGGGGGATTTCTTTTCCTAATTCAAATTCTGCATATCAGCATCTGGAAACAAAAGGCAGGATATGTATCAACATTACATGGGAAATGAATATATTCAATAAAGAAAAATCATAATCAAAGAAAAGATAAGAGGTCAAAATTAAACAGCAAATCTAGTTTACCTCTATCAACCTACATGGTCCTCTGATTATGGTTTCAGCAGCTCATGGCCGATCAACCAGGTAACACAGACCTATCAATTACCATTATTTTATGGTCACCATGTAAATTGAGTCGCATTACTTCGTTATTACAAGCTTGTGGGTCTAGATTCACAAATTTATGTCTCAGTTATGCCAAAACACATTGCCAGTTACAGTTAAAGGGCGGACGTTTGAATTCTCTTCTCAGTTTCATAACCAACATCCATAACAAAAAGAAGCAGCAGTCACTAGCCAGCTAATCCAATTACAATAATGTCCAGAAAAGGCACTCTACCATTCCCAAGAGAGTTGGACTTTGTCTTTTAAGATCTAACAAGCTAATTAGAGCTTCCAAATTGATATAAATGTTAAATCATTTCAGAAAAGGAACATGAAAATCAAATTGAACTTCATATCAAGCAACCAAAGGACAGATACATGTGTTAGGCTAATAATAAAACCACATACAATTGGACATGTAAAATGTACTAGGTTTCACATCAGAGTATCAAACGTCTTAATTACGCTATTTTCTCTGAATTGCAGAGAAATTGATTTCATCATGGAACGTCATGATGATAATCCAACCAAGAATTATATCTAGTAAGAAATCCAATAGATCCAAACTTCAATTCATCATCTGATCCAAGTGAATATTCACAAAATCAAAGGCACTTCATACGATATCTTAAGAGTAAACTAATGAAACACACAATCAAGTAAACAATTCGGCGACATCGCATACCATACTGTCCATCCAGTTTAAATAAAAAACGATTAACATCGAAATTTACAAATTTACCGAACAAACCACATGAAAAAACACCAAACCACATGATCGGAGAAAATAGTGGATCGATTAGGTTTTGACACAAAAAATAGGAAGCCAGAATTACCTCAGAGAATGCAACGAATATGTGAACCAGGGGACGAGAAGATTTGGAGCTGTGGCACTCGTCGTCGTCGTCGTCGGTTGTTGTTAGTGTAGATTTCGATTCTTCCCTGCTTATTATTGCATTTCCCAATCTACCCTTTCTCCACATACATCACCGATATATATTATTTATGTGTGTGTATATATACATGTGGTTGGATTCATAGCATGTTTTCACGAGATTCGTGAGAATTTTTTATACTTGAAATTTTGCAGTAAAATGATGTGAAGGTAAAAAGAAGTCGAATATTCAAAGCAAAAACACTGTGAAAGTTATCTTCATAGCGTTTTGCTGTAAAGTTTCCATATATATATATATATATAGTTAGGTTCACGTAAGACAGAGCTGTTTTCATAAAACATGTGAGAAGACATTTTTACACAAGAAACTTCATAACAAAATGTTGTGAAAGTAAAAAAAATCGAACCTTCACAGGTATGAAGTTTCAAGTGTAAAAATGTTATCTCACGTGTCTTACGAAAACAACCTTGTCTCACATGATCCCAAATATATATATATATATATATATATAGGGGCTCATTCGAGGAATAACTGATTAGTTTGTGATAACCGTGAGATCCAATCTCAACCACAAATCAATGGTTAAATAAGGAAATTAATAATTTTTGGTAATTTTAAATTAAAATATTTTAATTTATTAATTAAAATATCAATAAATTTAAAATATTGATGGTGATTTTAGGATAATTGAAATTGACTCAATATAGATGAAGATTTAAGGCTGAGCATTAAGACAAGTACGGTGACGTAGACTGCACGTTTGTACATGTTGCCTTGAATCTTAGATCGTCAACCGGTTAAGACGGTTGTGGCACCTTGCGGGGTTCGAGGGGCAATGCCCCTAATGGGGTTGCAAGGGACAAAAGCCCCTGGTCTGTATGCATGATTACTTGTCTTTAAACCTTTCACGAATTTTCATTAATGGAAGTTGCATTTAATGGATATTAAAAGCAGTGGAAACAAAGGCATTAGTGGAAGTAAGTAGCAATTGATTGAAACCTTAGTGGAAGCATTGGTTGATGGCTAATAAACTAATGACCGTTAGTGTCGGTGGCAACATCGACTAACACATTAACTGATGACGGTATGATTCTAATAAGCACATGTAGTTATAACCACTACAGTAATCATCCGTAATTAGGGTCGTTCCAATTTTTTTGGAGGCCATGTTACATTTATACCAATTCGATCTATCGATTGGACGATTAATGAATAAAACAAATTATAAAAGTTCATATGAAATATATTAAAAGCCTTAATTGACAGAGTTATATACAAATTTCACTTAGAATTATTTTTCAAACATTATTCGACACGATCGTCTATCAGTTTTTTTTCATAATCAACTTTCTCCAATAAGTCGTTAAATTGAAATGGTTATCATACAGAACTTTACCAGCTGTTGTTACCTCAAGCTTTTGAAAAACGATAGCTTGATTCTACAGCTGAATTTTCCCTCAACTTCCAACTTTCATGCATGTTTCTAAAGGGCTATAGTGTTATGAACGAAGGTACTTATGGGTCGCTTACTAAACGCTTACCCGGTAAGTATTTATCGGGTAACTTTCCTCACCGTACGAACATGGCAAGGACCAAAAATCTTATCCGGTAAGAACGATGATAAGGATAGAGAGTCTTACCTGGTAAGTGAGGGTAACGACTCTTACCGGGTAAATTGTTGTATACGTTTTGATGTACTACAATCATGATTTGGTACTTTAATCATCAAATTAGTCGTCGGAAAAATTAAGACGAGTGAGACTAGCCGACTAGGATAGGTCAATCATCAAATAAGAGACCTAAGAAGAAGGCTTGTAGATTTGCAGTAATAATCGGGAACTTGAGAATCGCCAAATCTGGTAGAAGAGAGAATGAATGTCGGCAATAGACTAAACTGCTAAACCATTATACTTGCTTAAATAAGAGGAACACAACCGAAGGAATTAAGCTAAAACATATGCAATATATGTATATATATATATATATAGAGAGAGAGAGAGGTGAGTTATTATGCAACACTTTACACTTGTATAACAATACAACTCAATTTCAACCGTCCATTTAATTTGATGAATATGTGATTTCATAAAAGTTTTGATTGTTTCCTAATATAAAGTATTGATCATAATTAAAGAACTCTAATAATCTTCCATAAATATTCAAATCATAATAAATGAACTCTATAATTTCCAGAAAATATTTCAATTGATTGGGTTGCATTGGTTGTTCACATGGGTTGCATTTGAAACGTTATTTATCTCTTTCTCTCTCTCTCATATATATATATATATATATATATATATATATATATATATATATATATATATATAGGAGGTTTACTTTGCAAACCACGTTATTTGTACAAACCGTACAAACTTCATTCAACCAACCATAATTTTTTATTTTGTTCATTTTTTGTAATTATGAGAGGTTGATTAATCATTTTTATTGTGTAGAGTGTTAATCATGGATATTATCATCTTCATTATTTTAATTTTAGAGAAATAGAAGAAACAGTTTTATTAAAATTTAATTAAGTATTATATGAAACAATTTCATAAAAAAAATGTCTTATATGAAATAATTTCACAAGATTAAAAAAATTCATAAAAAAATTCATAAGATTAAACAATGAAATCGACGAATAAGAATGATTTACATGGTTTATACAAATTAGATGGTTCGTATTTGATCGTTCATTTCAGAGGCCATGTTCGAAATCTTACTTTGATACATCCTTCGGCACGGTCCTACTCATGATATCTTTGGCAGAACCCAAACCTATTGACCATATCTACATGAATGAATGAAAAAGGATGAATGTAGAAATGAAAACGTAATTTTAGTCGTCAGACCCAAACATAAAATACATATACTTTAATACGGTTTCATTCCCTTTTTCAGATGCTGCAATTACTCCAAAGTTTCCCATTTTCCATGACGGTGGCCGCCACCAATCACAGCAAAACCTCTGGCCGGTGCGCCAATAAAAACCCCAGATCTCTCCCCATTGCTTACCCTACTGTGTGTTTGTTTCTGGTTCTGTGTGCGTGAGAGAGAGAGTAATCTTTTTGACATGAAGATTGAAGGAGGAGGCGGTTCAGGGATGTCGGAGAGTGCCGGAAATTCCACTAATTTTGTGCTTCTTTCAGAAGGTTGTGTGTCGTACATCCTGTCACATACTTCACCTCGTGATGCGTGTACAGCGTCTTCAATTTCTAGGGGGTTCAAGTGTTTTGCCAATTCTGACGCCGTTTGGGAGCGGTTCTTGCCGTCTGATTACCAGGATATCATTTCTCGATCGGTTTCTCCTGTGATCTATTCATCCAAGAAAGAATTATACTTCCGTCTCTGTGATTCTCCCGTCCTTATTGACGATGGCAACATAGTAAGTTTCACCATCTTCTGAAGTCTTGCCCACCAACCGTTCGACTATTTTGCTCTTTTAGTTCACTTTATTTTTGTCATCTGTTCCTATGGACACGAATCCTCACATCATGGAGACAGACATGCTATGACCCCCAAGTCAAAGCAGCACACACAGAAACAGAATCAGGTGAAAAGAACCTAAAAAGATACCAAAATCATCATAAGACGCATCACAGCTGATATGGGTACTCCATAATCTTCACCTTATAGCTGATGTGCCGGCCCTTCTTCTTCTGGCACAACGCCAGCAGTCTATTAGGTATTGGTCATTGGGTAGATAACCCAAAACCACATCTGGCAGATGCGATTCCTGGATGTAGTTGGATGTGACCCGGCGATCAAATTCTTGGTGGGAATCATCAACTTTATAAAGTATCACTTTTTCCGGGTTAATCTGACCTTCTTTCCCATGCATTTTTTGGGAGACGTCCTTTACAAAAGGTCACTCGCCCTTCCAAAACAAGGAGCACTTATGGTTGAACAAGCTCACTGTGCGGAGGACATGGCAACAGCCAATATACGGACTTATAGCAGCAATACCAGCCAGAACCTCTGATGAGAGCTAAGAAGTAGGCTAAGTAAAATAGAAAGTGTGTGTAAACAATAGGTAATGACTTGCTCATTCCCGCTCATGCTTGCTATAACAATTCCCTTGCCTACTAGACTTGTCCAAGCCAACTAATTTACCTAAGTAGGTCTCCTTATGAAGTTCATGTCCTTTCTTGGGGAACCAGCTCTACCATGGACTTAGACGTAAAAGATGATGTTATGATAATTTCCGAAAATGAACTGAAAAGGGAACTACCATGCTGGAGTTCATGATGTGATCTTTAGGTGTGAATAAATTTCCAGAATCATTCCTAAGAGATCATAACTATCCTAATACAACTAGAGCCTATAGGAGTAGTTTGTGCCAATTATAATTCCTATTTGCTCAATAACTTTCAATCAACTATGTGGGATTTGTGCTTTGAGTTCCTTAACAAAAACCTAAAAAGATACCAAAATCATCATAAGATGCATTACAGCATTAGTCTTGTTCACTGTACCTTAAGTGAACAACATACTAATACCATTTGTGGCATTCTAAGGCCCAAAACAGTAATCTAGCTCAATAGCTTCTAGGTCACTTAAATCATGGTGGAAGTCATTAGTAGCCGATCATTACCAGATGAATTGCTTCAGATTTTGTTGGTTAAACCCTCTGACATGTGATGGGCTTATAAATAGGTGGTTTGTACTTGATAATCAATCAATGTCCAAGTAATAGAGTCTAAATTCCTATGACAAGCAGCAGGAGAAGACCCTGTTCTGAGCTTTGATGATTTCATTGTGCAGAGATGGGGAAGGAATGAAGAATTCCAAAAGCTGGGTCAGGACCATAGACCTACGAGTAATCAATGTGTCACAAATACCCGACTTTATACATGAATAGCAATAATGATGATGATATTAACCGACACGAACAACTCTATTTAGTATTTTACTTGGTAACACAGAATGCAATGCCAATTATTAATTATTAAAATCTACAAGGAATCGTCTTGCTTTTACTTTATCAGGGCAAATTTCATGAAGTTGGTCAGATTTTGTTAGTTATTGCATCTCCTTACTAAAGCTTGGAAACAGTGTGGTCCAAGGGGGTGCCTATGCCCTTGCCCCCGCTCTATTATCTGGACACAGTGGAAAAAAATTAAGGGTCTTAGAGCTACACCCACTTTAAATTGATTTGTTCTCCCCTAAGTTAACAAAAAAGTGGTTACAACTTACTGATGGTGTCATTGCACGTGCCATTATAGGTTGCAAATTCGAATCCCTTTTTGGCTCTCTTTTATATTTTTTGTTAATGGCAGCAGAAAAGGAAGAAATAACCACTTGGGTGTTGCAAAAAATCACTTGTATGTCATTTCTAATGGAACTGTACTTTTTATAATATGCTCATTATTTTGTGCCCCTGCTTGGAAATTTTTTGGATCCACCTTCGTATAACTTTGTTGCTAACCCAATTCCAAAAACATTGGGTACAGAGCTTCTCCCTTAATAAACACAACGGAAAAAAATGTTTTATGCTAGGAGCGAAGGCGCTTTCAATTGCGTGGCAGGATACTCTAATTTTCTGGAGATGGAGATCTTTGCCTGAATCGAGGTCTCTCCTTTCCTTTCTATCCGCGTTGTGGTTTATTTGCTTCATCGATTCATCTTCTGTATCTGCCAAGTGTTTGTCATTCTTCCTTTTCGAAGTATATAGTAGTTTTATATATGGCAAAACTCACACTGCTCACCTTTTTGACCCTTCGTCCAGGGAGGTGTATCATTCTTGATCAATGATAGAAATGGAAATACTACACGAATCTTTACACTTGGTTTCTGAATGATTGCAGATTTTCAAAGGTAGCCGAGCTTTTAGCGGTATGTTGGCTTGAAATTAAAGGCAAATTCACAACTAAGATGCTATCATCAGAGACAAGTTATGCAGCATATCTTGTGTACAACATTGGAGCAGTTTCACACGGGCTCGACTTCCCAGCAAAGACATGGGTTAGACATATTGATGGAAGAGAAGAAGTAGAAGAAGTAGAAGAAGTAGAAGAAGAAGAAGATGTGGGTGTGAGTGTTGTTTACCTAACGCCACCAAAAACAGGCGAAAGTGTGCAGCATTCCGTGCATAGACATAGGGAATGCGTAGGCAGGGTCCCACAGAGGCGAGCAGATGGGTGGATGGAGATAGAACTAGGCAAGTTTTACAACGAAAAGATGGACGGTGAAGTGGAAATGGGGTTTACAGAGACGCAAGAACTTCTCTGGAAATCGGGGCTAATTATCGAGGGTATCGATATTCGTCCTATTGCTAAAGACGGGGTGAGGGAGTGAGAATGAAGTTATTTGACTAATTACAAAATGGCAGAAAGGTTCCATGGCGTATTTTGGAAAGGGA